ATCACTTATCTCTCAAATTCTGCCCTCGTGATCCAGTAGTTGTTTATCTCTCTTTTTCTCACCTTCTTTATTTTCCATCATTTGGTCCTCTATATCACTAATTCTCTCTTCTGCCTCATTTATCCTAGCAGTTAGAGCCTCCATTTTTTATTGCACCTCATTAATAGCCTTTTTGATTTCGACTTGGTTAGATTTTAGTTCTTTTATTTCTCCAGACAGGGTTTCTCTAATAACTTCCATGCTTTTTTCAAGCCCAGCTAGTATCTTTAAAATCATCATTCTGAACTCTAGTTCTGACATCTTACTAATGTCTGTATTGATTAGGTCCCTAATCAGTCGGTACTGCCTCTTGTTCTTTTTGTTGAGGTGATTTTTTCTGTCTTGTCATTTTGTCCAGAGGAGAATAGATGAATGAGAGAACAAAATGCTAACAGGGTAACAACGTCCCCGGAAAATATACACTAAACAAATCAGAAAAGACCTGAAACCAGGGGGGAAAAAAGGGAAAGAAAAAAGAAAAAGATAAAAACAAACAAACAGAACCAAAACAAAACAAAACAAAACAAAACAGAATATGATCAAATATGATCAAATATGATCAGGCTGGTGCATAGATTAGTGCCACACACTAGATTTTGGGCGTATTTTGGTCTGTTAGAAGAAAGTGCCTCCCAAAATTTTAAAGAAAGAAAAACTTATATATGTACAAAAATAAGGGTTAATATGATGAAGGGATGGAATATGACTGTAAAGATGAAAATTATAAAAGATTTTATAAAAGGAATTGATAAGATGTTGGTTGCAAAAAGAAAGAAGAGGATTAAAAAAAGGGGGAGAGAATGTGATCAGGCAGGAGACTAGAACAAAGCCTACACTAGAGATTTAGGGTATATTTTGATCTGTTAGAAGAAACTGTTTCCCAAAATTTTAAAGAGAGAACAACTTATATATATATACCAAAAATAAGGGTAACTACTATGAAGGGATAGAATATGACTCTAAAAATGAAAAATAAAAAAGATTTTTTAAAAAAAGGATTGATAAGATTTTGGTTGAAAAAGGGAAAAAGAAAAATTCAAAAAAAAAATTCACTTTGAAAGACTAAAGAATCATGGTAAAAAAGCCATGGATTCTATGTGCAGTATTCCCCTAGCGCTGGAGTTCTGCCGTTCTCATTGATCGGTAAACTTGGTCTTGGCTGGCTGTTCTTGCTGATCTCCTGGGGGAGGGGCCTGTTGCCGTAGTTCCCAAATGTCTTTGCCGGAGGTGGAATTGCCCCGCCCTTGCCCAGTCCGGGCTAAATAATCTGCTCGGGTTGCTCTCCGGAGCTTTTGTTCCCTGCGAGCTTTCAGTACAGCTTTGGAGGCGGAGAGTGAAAATGGCGGCCTCCCAATCTCCACCCCAGAGGAGCCGAGAACTTGGGGCCCCGCTCCTCAGTGAGCCCCCAGAGAAAAGCCGTCAGTCACTCCCGTCTCCCCGGTCTCCGGCCACACTCCGTGCTCACCTGGCCTGTGACCGCGCGATTCTATCTCTGGCACCCGACCCCAGGTGGAATCTCCAAACCCAGCAGATCCCTGCGGTGCACTCCTGCACCGCTCCTCCCAGGGGAGGAAGGGGAGTCTCTCCGGATCTGCCGCTTGTTGGGTCCCTGCTGGAGGAGCAGTGGCCCGACTGTGCCGCAGATCATGGTTTATGACAACCCTGAGCTGAGAGCACGCGCCTGGGCTCCATCTCTGCAGCTGGCTTCCCCTCTGTGATACCTGGGAGCTCTGCTGCACTCAGGCACCCCCGGTCTTTCTGTGACCCCGAGGGTCCTGAGACCACACTGTCCCGCGAGGCTTCCACCCCCAGCTTAGCCACCGGAGTGACGTCCCTCAGTGGAGCCGACTTCTAAAAGTTCCGATTTTGTGCTCCGCAGCTCTATCACTTGCCAGAAGCGGCCGACGGAGGCCCCCTCCCCTGCCGTCTATCCTCCCGAATATCGCCTCAGATTCACTTCTCCGCACGTCCTACGTTCCAGAAAGTGGTCGCTTTTCTGTTCAGAGAGTTGTTGCTATTCTTTTCTTCGATCTCCTGTTGAGTTTGTAGGTGTTCAGAATGGTTTGATCCCTATCCAGCTGAATTCCTGGGACCAGACGAAATCCAGGTCTCCTACTCCTCCGCCATCTTGCTCCGCCCCCAGGCTCCCCAACACTTTTTATTTCTTGTCCTTTTGATTCTAGTCATTCTGACAGGTATAAGGTAATATCTCATTGTGGTTTGGATTTGAATTTCCCTGATGATGAGTGATGCTGAACATCTTTTCATGTGTCTGTTGGCCAACTGTATGTTTTCATTGGAAAAAATGTCCACATCCTCTACCCATTTTCAACCAATTTTTTAAATGTTGAGTTGTATAACTTCTTTATATATTTTGGATATTTACCCTTTATTGGATATATATCATTTGTGAATATTTTCTCTCATTCAGTAGGTTGCCTTTTCATTTTGTTGATGTTTTTCCTTCACTGTGCAAAAGTTTTTATTTTGGTGTAGTCCTAATAGTTTATTTTGCTTTTATTTCCCTTGCCCGAGGACTCAGATCAGAAAAATGTTCCTGAGGCTGATGTCAAAGAGATTACTGCCTGTCTTTTCTTCTAGGAATTTTACATTTTCAGGTCTCACCTTTAGATCTTTAATCCATTTTGAGTTTACTTTTGTATATAGTATAAGAAAGTGGTCCAGTTTCCTTCCTTTGCATGTCCAGTTTTCCCAGCACCATTTATTGAGGAGACTGTCTTTTCCTCATTGTATATTCTTCCCTCCTTTGTCAGAGGTTAATTGACCATATAAGTGTGAGTTTATTTCTGGGCTCTCTATTCTGTTCCATTGATCTGTGTGTCTCTTTTTTTGCCAATACCATACTGTTTTGATTACTACAGATTTGTAATATATTTTGAAATCTCAGAGTATGATGCCTCTAGCTTTGTTGTTCTTTCTCAAGATTGCTTTGGCTATTTGGGGTCTTTGTGGTTCCCTATAAATTCTAGTATTATTTGTTCTAGTTCTGTGAAAAATGTTGTTAGTATTTTCATAGATTGATTTTTATCCTTCATTCTGTTGATGTGGTGTATCACATTGATTGATTGTCAAATATTGAATCATCCTTGCATTTCTAGAATAAATTCCACTTGGTTGTGGTGAGTGATCTTTTTAATGAATTGTTGAATGCAGTTTGCTAATATTTTGTTAAGGATTTTTGCATCTTTGTTCATCAGGGATACTGGCCTATAGTTCTCTTTTCTTTTCTTTTCTTTCTTTTTTTTTTTTTTTTTGTAGTCTTTGTCTTGTTTTGGTATCAGGGTAATGCTGGTCTCATAGAATGTATCTGGAAGCTTTCCTTCCTCTTCTAGTTTTTTGAAATAGTTTGAGAAGAACAAGTATTAACTCTTCTCTAAATGTTTGGTAGAGTTCACCTGTGAATCCAACTGGTCCTGGACTTTTGGTTGTTGGGAGTTTTTTGATTGTCAATTCAATTCCATTACTAGTAATTGGTCTGTTTGGATTCTCTATTTCTTCCTAATTCAATTTTGGAAGATTGTGTATGTTTCTAGGAATTTATCCATTTCTTGTAGGTTGTCCAATGTGTTAACATATAATTTTTCATAGCAGTCTCTTACAATCCTTTGCATTTCTGTGGTATTCTTTTTTTTTTCTTGTTTTTTTTAAATAATAATATATTTTTTTAAGATTTTATTTATTTATTTGAGAGAGAGAGAATGAGAGACAGAGAGCATGAGCAGGAGGAGGGTCAGAGGGAGAAGCAGACTCCCCGCCGAGCAGGGAGCCCGATGCGGGACTCGATCCTGTGACTCCAGGATCATGACCTGAGCTGAAGGCAGTAGCTTAACCAACTGAGCCACCCAGGCGCCCTGTGGTATTTGTTCTTATTTCTCCTCTTTCATTTCTGATTTTGTTTCCTCTCTCTTTTTCTCTTGATGAGTCTGGCTAAGAGTTTATTAATTTTGCTTATTTTTTCAAATAATTAGCTCTTTGTTTCCTTGGTATTTTCTATGGTTTTTTGTTTGTTTGTTTGTTTCTATTTCATCTGATCTTTATTATTTCTTTCCTTCTACTAACCTTGGGATTTATTTGTTCTTTTTCTAGTTCTATTAGGTATAAGGTTAGATTATGTATTTGAGATTTTTCTTGTTTCCTAAGGTATTCTTGTATCACTATAAATTTCCCTCTTAGAACTGCTTTTGCTGTGTCCCAAGGATTTTGGACTGTTGTGTTTTCATTTTCATTTGTTTCTATCTATTTTTTTATTTCTTCTTTGATTTCTTCATTGACTCATTGGTTGTTTAGTAGCATGTCAGCAGCATCATTTTTATTTTTATTTTTTTTTTGACGAGATAATTGGAAATAGTTTAATTTTGAGAAGCAGAGAGATTTTCTGTAGAGATATGCATCCAGCCACAAACATTTGAATCGGGATAAAGAATGACTTTTTTAGGAAAGCAATCACATGGTCTGCTCCAAAGACTTTAGAATTGGGTTAATGCAATTCTGCATGTTTGTAGGAGTGGGAACTTCAGTTGAGTGGGGCAATTTTGGGTCTACCTCTGATTCATGGGTAAATCCTATAATGTCTCTGAGTCTCTGTTTGACTACCTGAGATGTAGGGCATTGGATTAGAGCAATAGGTTCTTAACACTCATTACATGTTAGAATCGTTTGCAAACCCTTAAAAACTTCACATTCACAGGTTTTTCTTGGGTGGAGCCCAGGCATTGGTATTCCTCAAAAGTCCCCCATATGATTCCGCTGAGCAGCCATGGCTGAGCACAACAGCTTGAGATGACTATAAGGTCCCCTCTTGGTGTTATGATCAGGCATTAAGGGAGCTTCGTGATCCCCTTCAGCTCACGTTGGGTCCTAACAGATGAAGACCCTGTTGTGAGAGCCAAAGGAAGCAGCATCATTTTTATATTTTATATTTTATATTTTTGTTTTCTCAGTGAGAAGGAAAGGCAGACATAGAATCCAAACTCTGAGTAACAGAGCCCTATGGAACAGAGGCAAACCAAAAGGTAAAAAGAAAAAAATTTTTTTAATTTAAAAAAAGTATACATTTTCCATTTTCAGTAACTAAATGTCTAAGTTATCATGCTTTATTCTATGCTTTTAGTAACAAACCTACTTCCGTATTGCTTTATGTAGCTGTACTGTTGAGAAATATATCAGATTTAGTCAATTTCCAAAATGTGACAGGGAGAGAAAGATGATAATACCACAAAAAGGTGATTTGGTGATGAATCTGCAACCAGACCTGGGGCCCAAGTGCCACTGCTGCGCTCCTTCTGCCGAACTGATAACTTTCAGGGCTGGAAGTAGTTGTAGCCGTGAAACACTGTGTAATTCACAAGTGATGTAGCTGTCCTTCCTCATGTCCCATGACCTTGAGGTAATCGTATGGACTCGAGAGTGTCACTTTACCTCTTCTGCCTGGTTTACTCATCTATAAAGTAAGATAAATAATAATAGCTTGACTGCCCTCCAAGGCCCATCTCAGCCTCATATGGTTTTGGACCTCCTTGCTCATTTTTGCCACCGCTTTCAGCTCAAATATCTTCTTTCAGGTTTAACGTTTTGGGCAGCTATCTGACCTGTAGAATCCACCATAAAATCTCCCTTGGAACCCTGTATTACCACCTTTTATGTCTGTCTCTTTATTAAAGGAAATCTTCAGCACCTTCATTTAATCAGAATTTTTATCTGTGAGCATTGACTTTCTCATCTGTAAAATGAGGATAGTATTAGTTCCTGTTTGATAATTTGTTCTAAGGATGAAGTAAGTTAATAGAGGCAAGATCTAAGAATAGTTCTTGACACACAAGAAGCACTCAATAGATGTCTAACTTCAGTATATTTCTTACACAGTTGCTTCGGAAATCTACAAAACACAGTTTCAAATTTATTTGGAGATAATAGTAGAAGAAATATAGGATGAATCTCAGTTAAGTATCATCTTTGTAACTAAGTCTAGGCCAGGGTTCAGCAAACTATGGCCCACAGGACAAATCCAGCCCACTGACTATTTGTAAATAAAGTTTTCTTGGAACACAGCCACATCTTTTCATTTCCATATTATCTACGGATGCTTTCGTAATACAACAGCAGATCTGAATAGTCACAACAGCAATTACGTACCTTAAGTATTTACTATCTGTCAGTTTATAGGAAAAAGTTCCTGACTCCTGATTCATTCACACATTTGCCATTTTTCTTAAAGTACTAGACAGGCTTCTGAAAAGTTACATTTGAATGGTGTTTTTGTAAAATACTACTATTTGCAATGTAATGTTATAAACACAAACATTTGTGTTATTTTTTTACTTTCTCAGGGAGAAAAACAGTCATCTCCGGGTCTTTGAGAAGAGGCAGAAAAAGAGGTAAAAGGAAGTAAATAATATACTTTTAATAATTAAGTCTCTAAATTCTTATTTTATACTCTGTGTTTTGAGTGATCAATCGATTTTCTTAATTGGCTTTTAGAACAAGTAACAAATGTTAGGCTATTCATTGGCCTTGGTTAATTTCAACAACAAGACAAGATGGTATAACATGCACTCCATTGATTAGCCTAGTTGATCTGAGAGACCCCAGGCCTCCTTGGGTCTGTACAGGGTTTATTTGACTACACTGATAACTTTTGAGGAAGGAAATATAAAGAAAGAATATAAAGGTTATGACTCTCATGATATTTAGCTGACCCTTCTTTTGCCCACATAGAGAGCCACAGGTTGCCCATCAAGGGGGACCCTGGGTGGTAATACAAGACCTGTGTCCTAATTCCCAAACTTCCTTCGGATGTGTGACTTTGGATTATCATTTGTGGGTTTGTTTTTTTGGCCTCATTTTCCTTCTCTGTAAATGGGTGGGTGGCAGGTGAATTAGACTGAGTGACCTTCTAGGCCCACCCCAGCTCTAACAGAATAACTCTGGAAGGACCATGGCCACCCACCCTTCCCATTCCATAGAGAAGGCCCAGCATTTGTCTTTAATGAATCCCCCTCAGTGTTGGTCAGAAGGGCAGGAGCAGATGCTCCTGCTTCTGAAGTTCATTTTAAGACTTGCAAAGCCTGCTTCAGCAGAATCAGATCCCACTACCCCCACCCAAAGGATGTGCAGAGGTCCCCTCCCTGAGTAATTTGCAGTTCTAGCATGCTCTACCTTGAGTTTCCCTTTTAGCTGCAGAGAAAGCTCACATGAAGAAGTGCAACAAGCAGAGAGCAAGGAGAGAAGAGAGACACTGTCCCTGCTAGGTGCCCCATTGCAATCTTGCTTTCTGTCCCTGAGCTGATTCCTCAAGCAGGGAGACAAAACTAAAAGTTGAGGTTTTATCTCCAGCTACATAACTTCAAAGCAATAATATGGCAGGAGGAAATCATTGCACAATGGGGAGTTGTGGTCAACAAATTTGGAGATTCAGACACCTCCACACAAAGCTTTTAATGTAGGGTTTTGGAGAATGACATTATCTTTGTGCTTCTAATCTGCCATAGAAGAAAGACCTAGAAGGGTAATGAGTTCATGGGGAAAAGCCCTCCCATACATTTTAAATGATAAAAGAAAGATCTCAAGATGGATGAGATCAAAACAGTGCATAGTTGTAGAGAAAGATGGAATGAAAAAAATAATGCTTCTTTGCAGGTCCAAGAATTCCCAGAGATACACGTATGAATTTTTGCCTTCCGGAACTTCCCGTGACCTGTGGAGAGGCAAAGGGGATTTTATATAAGGAGAAAATGAAACAAGGTGGATTTCATGATCTTCTATGCTTTTCAACTGGAAAATACCCATGTGAATAATATATTATTCAGGGGGTAGACGCCTGTGTCAGGGGTCTCCCAAGACCATCCCTAGGTTTGGTGATTCACTAGGAGAACTCATAGGACTCAGCATATAGTGAACTCATGGTGATGATTTATTAGATTAAAAAGGGTACAAAGCAAAATCAAGGAAGGAAAAGACACACAGGACAAAGTCCAAAGGAAACCAGGTGCCAGTGTCCAAGAGTCTCTCCCGATAGAGTCACACAGGACGCACTTAATTCTCTAGCAATGAATTGTAGCAATACATGTGAAATGCCGTCTACCAGAGAGACTGCCCCCAGCCTTGGAGTCCAGGTTTTTATCAGGGGTTAGTCACGTAGGTGTCCTCTGCCTGGCACAACGCCAAAATTTCAGACTCCCCGAAGGAGAGCAGGTGTTCGGCAGAAACCATTTATATTGTTTATGTAAACAGCTTAGGACAGTGAGACACTCTTTAAAGGTCTGGGAATCGTGAGACCCCTGCCCAAATGCAAGTTCCCCAATGCCAACCAAGAGCCAACCTTGCAAGCAGACCTTTCTAAAGATAGCAGCCCCTGCTCTGACCCATTAGCTCTTTTCTGTACAGCATCCCAGATAAGCTGGAGGAAAGATGGCATTTCCACACTTATAATTAATAAACATAACAGGACATCTCTCCTTTCCCCATGGAAAATGTCCACAGGATGCCCATCCAGCACCCAATGCAAGACCAAGTGCTTCAATATCAGGGTGGAATATGTACACATTTGGGAAATCTGGCAATAACCTTCACAGCCCCATTCCCCTTAACATCTGTATGGCCTTACGCTAATGGGAGGGAGCCCAGGATTTAGAATTAGAGGACCCGGATTCAAGTTCCAGTGATACCACGAGTGTCTTTTCCATCTAGACCAAATCGCTAGTCTCTTATCCTGAACTTCCTCCCGGACAAAATGGGCATAATAAAAAAACTTGCCTCACCATGCTATTATGAGGGGGGGAAATGAGATGGCAGATATAAAATACTTTGCAAATCGTAACTGTTAAAGTACAGTACAAATGTTCATCTGTCATAATTGATTCCCCCCACCCAAATATAGTTCTCTAGGCACCAACATGTATCAATGTTTGCCCTGTGACCATATTGTAGATGTATAATTTAACTTTTCCCACTTGATGACATTTCCATAATCACTTTTCCCATAGAGTAGTTATGAGTCCAAAATATGAGAAATAATTTTTTTTGAGAGAGAGAGAGAGAGGAGGAAGAGGCAGAGGGAGAGAGAGAATCCCAAGCAGGCTCCATGCCCAGTGCGGAGCCCAGTGCGGGGCTTGATCTCACCGCCCTGAGATCCTGACCTGAGCTGAAATCAAGAGTCAGATGCTCAACTGACTGAGCCACCCAGGTGCCCCCAAAATATGAGAAATAATTGATTACCATCAGCTGGATGACCGACATCATACAAGAGGAAGCAGGTGCAGCTGTGGTGACAGCTCCTACATGGCCACCCGTGTGGCTTCGTCTGTCCCCCCTGAAACTCAGCCTGGCTCTCAGAGAAGGGGAGGAAAAGAATCCTGCTCATTCATCTTCAGAGCCTTTCAGTTTTTTCTCTTTTAAATATGGTGAAATACTTTTTTAAAATAAACGTTGGTGCTAATTATTGTCCTCGTTAAACAAAAGTCAAAGACGGGTGCACACAGGACTGGAAGTCCTGTCCCGCCCCGGCCTTCTGGGCTGCCTGGGGGGCCGCTGAGAGCCATCTCGGTTTTCCTGCTGTAGATTCTGAGCCCAAGACAGGTGGCTCGGGTGCATGGCGAAGGCCACATTCTGGGGGTTCTCTGGTTGGTGGGGGGCACTCCCTGGCAACTCCTTGTTTTGGTCTCACAGGAACCTCAGAGAAGTGTATAAAGGGTAAGGATGGAAGATGGTTTACCTTCAGGGAATTCGAAGTTGAAGGAAACTACTCACGGTCCAAGAACTGGAAGATGAGTGTGAGATGTGGTGGATTCCCCCTGAAAGACCTGATTAAGGTATCCCAATGATAAGCGGCTTACATGCAGGGTTTAGTGTCACTGTTCACCAGCTCCAAGCATTAGCAGAATTTCTCAGTGTCCAGAAAACTGTCACGATGCCCTCGCCCAGGTCACAATGCATGTGTTACTAACATTGCACTCGGAAGCATTCTGGCTGCTTTATAGTACAGCTTAGTCCTCCAAATGCATGAACTCTTATCCTTTTGAAGGTCAGACAGGAAATTGTGGCTCTGACGGGGTCATGAATAATTGCCACTGTGTAATGTGGTCACAGGAAAGTAATTTAAATGAGAGGTGGGGGTCTTGGACTTTGGAGGCTGGAGGAAGGAATCTGGACCCTTCCTTTAATCATGGAGGGATCGTGGGAGGGTTTGGGGTTACGGACTGACTGACACAGGTGACACACTGCTTTAGAAGTATTAATCTGATCAGAGAATGCAGGATGGGTTGGAGGGTGGAGTGCTGGCAGCCATGAAGACCTCACATGACCTTCACCGCCTCTGTGCCTGATCCACCCATGCGAGGCCCGCGAGGCCCAGCTCAAACAGCACCTTCTCACCACACCTGTTGCCCGTCGCTGCTCTAACAGCTCTTTACAACCTGGGTGGCTTAAAACCATACAAATCCATGATCTTAACAGGTCTGGAGGCTAGAAGTCTGAAATCAGTTTCACTGGGCTCAAGTCAAGGTGTCAGCAGGGCTGGTTCTTCCTGGAGCTTTCCAGGGAGAATTTGTTCCTTACCTTTTTCAGCTTCTGGAAGCTGCCTGCGTTCCTTGGCTTGAGGCCCTTCCTGGCATCACTCCTGGCATCACTCCAATGTGTTCTGTCATTACATCTCCTACTCCTCACTCTGACCCTCTTGCCTCCCTGGCAAAAGGATGCTTGTCATTACATTGGCCCCACAGAGATAATCAGAATGATCTCCCCATTGCAAGCTCCTTAATTTAATTAAATCTGCAGAGTCATTTTTACCACTTAAGTTAACATATTCAGAAGTCTGGGGGTTGGGATCTGACCATCTTTGGGGGCGAGTATTCAGTCTACCATAGTCACCTGTCTCTGGATCCCAAAATACTCTATGAGAGCAGGGTTTACACTTTATCATCCTTATCCATCCTATAAGGCTCATCCTACTTGTCTCCCCAGAGGCCTAGACACCTTTGTGTGCCCAGGGCCACTGATGGGGCCTGCGCCCTGTCGTCGCTCCCCAGGTTATGTGGCAGTGGGTAGCTATAGCTAAACACACAAGTTAGAGGGGCCCCGGGGAATGGAAAGGAAGCAGTGCGTATAGAAGGCATTGTGAAGGAAAAGCTGGCAAGGCTATGAGGAAAGCAAGAGAGGATGCAGTTTTTAAAGCTTACCTTAAAGCTGCGTCTGGGTAAGAGAGAGCAGTGTGTTACAGATCTGGAGAGGGACATTATTTTCCACGAAGACACCCTGAATTTGTGTTGACAATGGGACATATCTGGAGGGCAGTTGGAAATACCAAGCTCACAGAGTAGAAACAAGGACCCATCATAGCATTCATCTCATTTCTCTTTCAGAATAAATACCTACCAGACCCGCCAAGAAGAAGAAGAAGAAAGGTAATTATCACATGACTTTCTGCCAATGTCTCGCCCCCTTGGGATGGATAATAGCCGTGTGTCACCTGGCAAAGCAAACAACCCAAATCACATTCTCTCCCTTTCTTTTGTATCCTTCCTCTCCTTCACATGCACACACGCACATTCACACTGAGTCCTTCTTCAAGGGATCCTTCTTTAAAGGGCCGTTCATTTCCTTTATGGAGATATCACCTTTGAGAATAGAGAGACTGGAAGGCTGATGTGCCAGGGGTGAGACCATGCTGACCGGGAAGATCTTCTGCTTTATGGAGAGGCCACACCAGGGAGATGGTTTTGGAGCTGCGTGTCTGCGTGAAAGCATCAGGCCTCACCGCAGGGGCTTTGCAAACCTCAGTTCCATCTATGGAGGTGAATTCTCTTTCCTTCAAAGTCGCATGTGGACTTCATGGACCAGTGGTTTCCATGGTGCATGGAGTCCAAGGAAGGAGATGGGATAGTCGGTGTCTTCCATGGCCTCTCCAAGAGCAGGTGTGAGAGAGAACCCGTGTGGTACACAAAGGAGATGGAAGAGCTTCCATTTTCCTAACCTCCAATAGTGGTGGCCTTGGTCCATCTCTGCTGCACCCAAAAGTCACAGCCTTCACAAAGCTCGTTTCTGGGGCTACCCACTCCACTGCTTTATGCTAGTGACTCAGTCACGAGGGCCTGCCTCCACTGGGTTTTCTGGAGAAAGACACGTTATTTGCTCTGTTCATGAAGAGCAAACATCTCTGCCCAGTGCTAGGGAGTCAAGGGTAACTCAGTCCGGGTTAGTCAATTGAGTTGGCCATCTCCCATCCCTTCATCACAAATGCCATCTCTCAGTTCCCTCAGGGCTTACAACTCTTAAGGTGTGACTACTTCCGTTCTCAGAGCGTCTCTCCAGAAGGTCTTTTCCTTCCCCAGCCCCTAGGCTTCTGTCCCTTGTGCCATCAAATGACAGGTGGTGCTATTGGCAGTTTCCCTGCTCATAAGATTCCTGTTAAACCCGATGGTGATAGCTAAGGTGTTCCAAGAGAGGAAGATAGAAAACTCCACGCCAATCATTTACTGGCTGCTAAGAAACCTCTTCTCCTGAGTGACAGCTGTGTTCATTTGTTTGCTCACTTCTGTATCCATTCAACAAACACCTGTGGAGCAAACACTAAGCACTAAGCATATGCTTGGCCAGTGGCTGTGCACAGGAGGCCAAAGCGCCAGACCCAAGGAACTGTTTCAGCTTCGTTGTCTAACGTGGGACAATAACTACTGGGGTGGGATGGGGGGGTTCTAGGCCACTCTGAGAGGCAGGCAGTGGCGTGGCTGTCTCCCAGGTCATTGTGCTTTGGATCACACTGAGTGGCTTATCTGTGGCCTCACTGCCTGGGTGGGAGGTAGAAGCTGAGTCAGCCTTTGTTCCAGACTGAAGGAGGCCGAGTCATTCCACAGATATCCAAGGTCAGTGCATGCTTTTGGGATTCAGGAGACAGTGGAGAGGTGCTTAGCTTCAGGAAGAAGAGGGATGGGACTGGGGACCTTAGATCCATTTTGTTTTCAGGTTAGGCCCTGGGTGAGCTGCAGAAGGCAGTGGGGTTCTCGGGGACACGTGCAAGGTGTCCAGGACTCTGGGCGCTGCGGTCGCTGGGGGCCGTGGATATTCAGCCCTCAGCCTGATTCCCTCACTGCAGCTCCAACTCTATTTGTGGAATCCAGGACCAGGCTCCCTGTGTGGCTTCACAAAGGGCTGCCTTGAGTCGGACAGCCAGAGAATGGAACTTGCATTGAGCCAAACTGTCAGTGACATAAAATTTCATGCTTTTTTATTCTCCAATTAGATATACAGACCCATAAATGCAGATATAAAGCAAAAGGAAGGCTGTGGCATGAATCCTTTACACAAAGAAGTCTGCTCAAATGCGTGGTTAATGAAAAATCATATTCAATATAGTCACTCAATCTTTCTCTCTTTTCAGCAGACAATACCAGAGCCTAGCAGCAATGACTTTTTTGACCCTTACGTAAGTACTAACTCCCCAACTGTGACCCCAGAATAATCCAGGCCTTGTCCCTCCATACATGACATGTATCATTGCTGCGTTTCTCTGAAGTGTGCTCACACTCAGTTGGAGTATGTCACTGTGTGTGACGAGGAGAGAACCGCAGACGGACATATCACCCATACGAGGGAGAAGATTTGGGAATTGGTGTTTCTGCATGAAAGCTCCCTTTCCATTTGTTCAGGGAAACTTTCCTGTTTCCTTATTTCCCCTTGAGAGTGAGTATGGGAGGCAGAGCGCTAGACCACTGAGGTCTTTAGAGCCAGGACTTAAAGTGGTAATAGCCGAGGCTGGCGTGCACATGACAGGTAAGGAACACACTTGAGAGAATAGCAGCATTCTGAAGAAGGTGATAGGAAGGAAAGGAAGATCACACACATCCACTCCAAGATAGAGGCAGAGCTAAGACGGTTTGAGGCATCCGTGAGAAGGAACAGGCTGAGCCAAGCTGGCAAGTCCAGGGGTGGACCCTGTCACCAGTCCTGCAGAGAAATGTACACAGAGCAAGTGGGTGATGCAGGGAAGTATCTGCAGGGTCCTTTATGGAGGCCCTGGGGCTCATCTCAAGGGAGCCATCAAGGGGCTGAGCTGGGTAAGACAGAAACTATCAACATACAGCAAATCACAGACATTTTTACTCAAACTGCTTGGCTAGTGCTTGATTATGTGCAGACCCTTCTGATTCCACAGGCCCTGCTTGTTACAGCTACCTGCATTAAAGTCTGCCAGCATCACAGATGGCCCCTCCCTCTAAGCCAAATCACACTTTGATTGCTTTCATTGCAACAAGATGGATGTTTTGGGCTGAATCACCTTTTTGCACAACTCCAGGGGGGGCTCTCACTATTGAATGATGGGCAGCTGTACTGATAAGGGATGCTTATGGAGAAGGGATAGAAAAGGGTTGCCATGCCCTCTGTTCTTCTAGCAAATGCATTGCCCAGCATGATCTAGATGCATCCACATGACTTCGATTCCTCTGCTGGACGTGGGAGACCCTTGTATAGTGGAGTAGCTCTCATCTCTGGGGTCTGCACAACTTTTCTGATACCTGGAATGGACATGGAGGGTTATTCCTCACAGTTCACAACCACGCCCTCTGCGAAGATAAAAAGCAACTCTTCTAATAAAAATGTCCTCACACCTTTTCATAACCTTTCTGTGACAGATTTTGTAGGCTGATAATGACTCTACTCACAGCTCCCAGGCTTTGCTGGGAGAAATCCCGCTAGGCCTTGGGCCTCCAACCTTGGCTGCACATGGCAATCAGCTGGAGGTCCCACCCACAGAGGTTCAGATGTTAGTGTTCTAAGGTGCAGCCTGAGGGTCAAGATTTTCCAAAGCTCCTCTGGTGGTCTTAATGCACAGCCAAAGTTGTGGGCCATGGTATAGTGTTCATCCGAATCTCCCTGCCTTCTGATTCAGGGAGTGAGGGATGGGGCCTGAGAATTTACACTTCCAACAAGATTCAGTGGATGCTGCTCCTGCTCATCCCAAAACCACTGCTTTAGAATCCAGAGATATCCACTAAGGACTGCACCTTAAAACCATCTGGGGAATGTTTAAAACATACTGCCTATGTCCCCCCCCACCCTGGTGAAGCAAACAACCAAAATCATGTGCAATTAATTGAATCTCTGAGGATGGGGCCTTGGGCTTCAGAATTTTTTAAAGGTCCCTAGGTGATTCTACTGTATAGCAGGTTGAGAACCACTGCCAGGCAAAAGGACAAATTTCTTGCTAAAAAATTAAAGAGATATATGTTGAGTTTGTGGGCTCCTAGACTATGGACCTACCAACACGGGATTGTCATGTTTATTCATTCTTTCTCGGGGCCTGCTTACAGTGCACTTTTTATAGGATGATAGTCTAGAAACCTCCACCCAGCAATGGTCAGCATCTATGAGTGTCATCTGTTATGACAAAAAAAGAAAAATATTTACACAGCCCATGCCAGGCCCAGGTGGGGATGTGTCCAGGGATGTCCCTTCCAGGCCATTCCTTAAGTTTTCCCTTTCAATAAGGGGAGTGCATGGGCAAGATACAAGAGCCTAGAATTTCCTCTTATGTGTGACTTTTGTGTCTCTTCTTCTTACATTGAATTTATAGATGAAAAGAATTTACAAATTGAGATATGTCCCAATTCACATCAGCTCGCTGGGTGTAGGGATGATATTCTGACTGTTATGATTTAGAACCTAAAAAGCAGGCTGCTGTACTTTGGCTAATAAGTAAGGCATCTGCAGCCTTGTGGCTGTAGACCTCACAGAAGCACTGAGAAGGAGATAGGAGTTTTGAAAAATGGGATCAGCAGGACTGGTGATGGATATCTGAAAAAAAAAAAAAAGCAGAGGGTTAGAAAAAATCCAAGAAAGTAGAATATCATGGAACAAAGCATAAAGAGTGTTTCTAGAAGGAAGAGGTGGAATGGTGCTCCCTGTCACCTCCCCACTTCCTCATTGCCACCAAGAGTCCCGACCATCCATCACTGGGTTGGCCAGCCCCCAAGTCTGTGCATTATTTCATACCTAGATTGTCACAAGAGGATGTAAATCCTTCTTCCAACCCATGGTATTAAGAGGATATTTTCATTTAGGTATAGAGCTGCCACCCATTGGATGAAATGTTTCCCCACCACATAGTCTTCCTCAGTTGGCTCTCTTGCTGCTCAGGTGGCCCTAGGAGAGGGGCCAGGTGCTCATCCTTCTGGGCATTTCTCCAGCCCAGGCACACAACCTTCTTACATAGAAATTGTAGTATGTAGGGATTCACATGTTATTGCCACATAGATTATTACACACAACAGGAAAAAAATGTGATTTCTTTTACCCATCAATGGGCTCATTCCTTGACCAAGATTTATTTTGGTCTATTAATTCTATTGTTTTTAACATGTGTTTGTTACTCCATAATACTTAGATACAAACACTATCAAATGTTTAACTTCACTAAAGGAAATTAAATATGGCTAAAGGTCCTACATATTGCGATTGGTGAAAAATCAAGCATCAACCAATTTTGTGGGTCCCTCCACCTTCCTTATATACAAAAACACTAGGTCTTGAATGTCCTCAGAAAATGAGGGTATGGCCTAGGCCTTCAGTTGTGGTGGTCACTGTTACCACAATCCCTGGCCATTTGGGGACAGCACCTCCACACCTTACATGCTGAGCTAAACCATGGGACATCTCCCCACAGGCTCCCAGAGCCAAAGAGCTCTGTCCTCCCTGGCATCCACCTGGTCATCTGTGTCTACGTCTTTCCAACCCAGAGGTACTGTCATAGGCCCAGGGGCCCTCCAGGCACGGAGTCCATAGTGCGGGAACTCCTCCCCAGGCCCTTCAAATCATGGGGAACTTATGGCCAAGAAAAGAGGATGCAGTGATATGTCAGAGTGTAATCTCTTATATTAAATTCTCGGTAAATCACTCTTCAGTGAGTCAATGTAGATGATGCAATGTAGATAACTAGATAAGACACTGTATTATATTCCTGAGCCAAGTTTTGCCAGCAAAATAATGAATTTCTCAGATTATCTTTAATTCATCCCTTTTTGTGGTTGTTGCTAGTCTTGTGTCAGAATCTCTATCTTCATAAAAAAAACTTCAGTGGTCTAATAGCCACTTCCTCCCAAACTTTGCCACAGACCAGAATGTCTTCTTCCAAAATCTTCACTCAATATTTTGAGAAGAGAAATTTATAAGTGTCACCTGGCTACAAAGCAAAAGTCATGTGTTCTAGAGTCCCAGTGTGTCGACCTTCTCGGGTCTCACTGATTCCAGTGATGTCTGCATTATCTCCCCTTCTAGCCGGGAAACTCAAATATATGTGAGGTGTGCCGTGGACCTGGAAAGCTGTTCTGCTGTGATACTTGTCCAAAGTCCTTTCATGAGACATGCCACATCCACCATATAGATGCTAACAGGTTAGTGAGCCTGGTCCCCTTTTGCCATTCCCTCCTGTGGCACAACTCCTCCAACCGTGCGCACTCAGCCTGCAGAATTTGTCTCTGGTTGTATGTGTCTTGATGCAGAGGGAGCAGAGTCTTAAAGTATCAGGGTCCAGAAATATGATCCAGAGTTGTTTAATGGCTCTAGCAGCATAGATTCTAGGCTCTAGAATCTAGAACTCTTCAAGTTGTTGTTAGCTGTACTAGAAAGAGATGTCACCCCCATATCCCCCACTTGGTTCCCAGACCCAGGCACTTTGTTGGGGTGATGACACCATGCATTAGGTGCTGGTTTAAAGCATATACCACCTGCTATGGGAACATCAAAAAGTTGACAAATTGGGGACTGTGATGAGCCTTTGATGGCCACTGATGCTACATTTCCTGCTCTATTGCTGAGCCCATGTATAGTCCCCATCCTCGCACCACGGGTACTCAGGAATGGGCCCCTTGGGCAAGCACTGGAGTAGCCAAGGAAAAAGGCAAATGACATATCTAGGAAGGATCACTGTATCCACTTGATTATCGAGAGCCTTTCAGCACAGGGAACCTGGCAGAGAAGAATGGAGAATGAATCTCAAGGCAAATGGCAGATGTCTGACACTACTCTGTTTATAGATTTCCTTTCCAAGAAATTTCTGCAGCATAGATTCTAGGCCCAGGTAATGGCAGTGCCAGAGGAGAGGATGTCTATAACTCTGTGCTTACTCAACAAAGTTGAGAAACAAGAAGTGGTTTCCTTTTACTATGGTCTGATGGCTCATTGAGGCCCAAGACTCCAGTGCTAAAGGTACCAACTGGAAATGTTAACAGGCAGGCTCATTACTGAGTCCACAGTAGCTCAGATAAGAACTCTAAGTTTTGAGATGAATGAAAGACCATCACCCACCATGGCAGCTCACTCAACAAACTGTCAGTCCTGCTACCACTATTAATGGGAGGGGTGTCTGGCAACTGTGCCCAAATGGGGCTCTAGCGCAGAGGAGTGTCCAAGAGAGAAGTTGGATACAATGTGGAAACCACCAGTCATTCCTGAACAGAGGACTTTAATAGCTGTAGAAACGGTGACTGAATCACAGAGAACCTACCTTTGCTGACCTTATGCCCAACCTCTCAGGGACCCATGGAGTTGCATCTTCTGCAGGATAAAGGCTCTTCAACAAAGTTACCCACAAAGCCAACCATGTCACCAGGCATCTGAGGTCCTAAAGAGGCGGATGGTGCCTGAGGAACAGTTGGTGAGTTGAAATATAAACCTGAAGTGTCCTCCTTTCTGTTGACTTGAGAGAAGAAGCACAGTCTTGCAGGGGCTGGAGGGATGGTGCCCACGGGCGAACTGCTGTCCCCTGCTGTGCTTTGATCACATGACCTAACCCTAGGTCTGTATTCCAAAGAATTCCAAAAATCTGTATTCCAAAGAAAATTCCCATTCCGTGTTTGTTTCATAGGCCACAGGTTTGGGAGCTGTGCATTCTGTCTGAGCGTATGTACAATTCATTCTCCCCAAGCTGCTTTTCACTTAAAATCTCCTCTGTCTTTTGCAGAAATGTGAATTTGTCCTCTTGAAGGTCTACTCCTATTCAAAAAGCCTCTTTTTTGCTTCAAGACCACATTATGTAAGTGATGGCAACAAAGCCCAAAACGGGCATTGTCAAATTTGTGATATGGGTCCAATGGGGTCACTTGTCATTATCTTCATCTTGTTGATGGATATCTGAGTCAGCTTACTCAGTCCTTGGCCACTTAAGCTGCTACCACAAAGTACTATGGACAGGGCAGCTCAAACAGCAGCTGTGGAGGCTGAAAGCCTGAGATCAGGGTGCCAGTGGGATCCTGCAGACTGCCAACTTCTTTTTGTGTCCTCACATGGTGGAAAGAGAGGGAGAGAGCTCTCTGGGGTTGTTTTTATAAGGGCACTAGTCCCATTCATGAGGCTCATCCTCACAATCTAATCCTCTCCCAAAGGCCCGACCTCCTAATACCATCACATTGGGGGTTAGGATTGCAACATAGGAACTTGGGGGAGGGGGACACAAGCGCTTGGTCTGTAACAGTGGGTAGACTTGGAACAGTGCTCACAGTCTGCCCTTACTCACTTTGTCAACAGGGTAGCGACGCGTCTCATGGCCCAAAGAAACATATGTGGTTAAACAAAATCAAGAAAAAGCTGAATATGAAACTGTACCTCCGAGTGGAGGGGTTCGTGAGGGACATGTGCCTCATCTTTCAGAACCACAGGACTTTCTACAAGGTGAGTGGTTCCCTCTGCATCCCTCTTTCTTTCCGTTAAGCCACTTTGCCATTCATCCTCATATCAGGTAAATGTTACAGTTGCCCTCGTCTTGTGGCAAGCCTACCACAAGTGCAAATTCTGGAGGTATTCTAAAAGCCCTGTGGTCTAAGGTGGGGAAATAGTAACAAACCAGGTCTCTTTGCAGACATTACCTTAGGACCTCAGAGTTTACGCACTTCTAGATGCTCAGTGTTCATCCACAGAGCGCAGTGGACTGCAGACCTATTTCCTTCTACGAGAAACGGAAACGCATTTTTTTTCTGGAGCTGGGTAGCTCTGTGTGCGTCCCAGAAGTCTCCGCCTTTGCCCTGGGTTCCTATCCTCACTCAGCCGGAAGCGCCAGCTGAGAGACTGGATGCGCAGGCGTAGAGTATGCGCATGCGCAGTTTGCTGGTGCTGCTGCGCACCCGCCATCTGGCGTCTAGGACCTCAGGGATGTTGGGACAGGGGCCTCCCTTTCACGCCTGAACATCTCCCTATCTCCAGTGGTTCCCTACCATTGTAGTGTTGCAAGTTATAAGAGCCGTGTTTGAAAATCAAGCAACTAGTATTTTTTAAAAATTAACAATAAATTTCTGATGAAGAGTTAGACTATAATACAGTACTATTTTTACATCTCTGTCTTCCAGGTAAAGAGAAATGATCAAGCTATCAGGGACCATAAGACTCTTGACTGTATTAATTCTCACTTAACATTTGGGATAGTCTAAAATGAAGCTCTGGATTACATGAAACATGGAGAGCCTAAGCTCAGTTGCTATGGCCATTCTCATTTTTCTCTTTGCTTTTTCAGGACAACCAGAAATTCATCAAGTTTGGACTTCAGGTAGAGGCCATGTTTGAGAATAGTTTCAGAAGCACTTTTGCAATTCGGGAAACAAGCGAGAATAGTTGTCAGCTGGAGCATTCTTTCATGAAGTAGCCCTTCCCCTCACCCCAACAGTCTTCAGCAGCTACAAGATAAGAGTCTGTGGTTCCTCCCACTGACAATTCTGCCTGTTGCTGTGCAAACAACTTTTTCAATGTTTTCGTTGTTGCCATTTTAGTTCATTTATTTTTCTAAATAAAATATAAAATTATCTTGTCAAGTTCTCTTCTTGAATAATTTGAAGTGAAATTTACAGTAGAAAATATCAGGTCTTTCTATAAGGGATTGTATTACGTGCTTCCATTTATTTTAATCTTTTATTAGGTCCTTAAAGTTTTCTTCTCTTTTCCCCTCTCCACACAGGACTTACCTGTTTCTTTTCTTTTCTTTTCTTTTCTTTTCTTTTCTTTTCTTTTCTTTTCTTTTCTTTTTAATGCTCGGGCAGTTAATATTTTTTCTTGCTATTGTGAATGTGAACTTTCTCCCCAATATATTTTATTACCAATTATTGACTCTTATAGAAAGCTATTGTTATTTATATATCATGGTCACTGATTACTTTCCTGAATACTGGATAGTATCCTTTTTGACCTCATACCCAGTGGCATCAGGAAGCTTGTAATGGATGCAGAGCATAGCCAGTTTTCAACTCACAGAATCAGAACTGGTTCAGCAGATGGAAGTATTCTTCACTTGGGCACGAAAATCTCCGACAATTCTTGGTTCTGTTAGCAAATGGTTCTGCCGTGGCGCCCTGGTGACCTTGCACGTCTCCACATAGACCACACAGGCAAGACTTAACTGCAGCTGATTTGATCTAAGTCTTGGCAGACTGCCCTGTGATCTTTCCAGAACACAGAGCATGGGACACTTGTGAAGCACTCTGACAAGACCTTGTCCCAGTCACCACCTTATCTTCCAGGGGTTATCATGACACAATCTCTCCTCACATTGCAAGTTCCGATGAGGAGTGAGGCCTTCTGCCTCTTTCTCTGGGCCGTAGCTGCAGGCCATGGAACTGCTCCACTTCAGCATGAATGTGTGCTGTATCGCATGCTGCCTCAAATGCCATCCACATCCCCTCTTGTTCGGTGGCACCCCCTGGGACAAAGGACATGGGGAGCTGGCACCTTTGCTCTTCCTGCTTTTGCTGTTTATGTGAGTAATGAACTGTCTGATCTAAAAAGGGCACATTATTTCTTTACCAGCCAAATCAGTCAGCCTTGCCTGACGGTTTCTCAGAACCAATACATTCTGGCTATCGTACCTGACAGAGTACCACATATTGGTAGCTGGTTCAGAGCATGCGCTACACCCTTCAGGGAAATACCTCAACCTCACAAATCATTGCCTCCAGCTGGTTCCAAAGGTAAGTCTTCAACACACCTCTATGCCACTCAATAATAAAATTTTGTTGTTGAAGAGGGCGCCTGGGTGGCTCAGTTGGTTAAGCGACTGCCTTCGGCTCATGATCCTGGAGTCCCTGGATCGAGTCCCGCATCGGGCTCCCTGCTCGGCAGGGAGTCTGCTTCTCCCTCTGACCCTCCCCCCTCTCATGTGCTCTCTCTCATTCTCTCTCTCTCAAATAAATAAATAAAATCTTTTAAAAAAAAGAAAGAAAGAAAAAGAAACTTCTCTTTTAGCAATTATGAATGTTCTGGTTGTATCTCATATAATAGACAGCCCTCTTTAATAAAAAAGATGAATCTGGACTCTTTAAAATTTATTATCCTATTTTTGAATCATCCAGCAAACAACTGGATTTAATGTTTTGTAGAAATGTTGTTAAAGATTCATTTGCATACCAAGAATTCTGATTTGCACATATCTCTCTTCTAACATGTATGCCCAGAGTAAAAGTGGTTCCAATATCCATGGGGTCTATGAGACATGAGAGGAAAACAGTAATTTGTACATTGAAAAGTGCTAAATCTTGACATTTCACACAACTCACAGTCAGGATTGAGACATGTTGATTATCATTTCTCTCTACCTTTCTAAAGAAAAGAAAGAGCTATAGGATTGAGTTCTAGAAATCAAGGATGATAATTCTAGTTGTTCTTTTAATTCGCTATTTGGCATTATGGAAAGAGAAGGAGCGGAGAACCTTAAACGTGTGTTCTTTGGTTTCCTCATATATAAAACATTTGTTTTGCCTTACACCTCATGATTGTGATGAAGTTAAAATAAGATTCTTTTTGCAAAGTCCTTTGATAAACCACTATATACTCAATGGCATTGAGAAAGGAGAAATTAGCTCAGTCTGAGATAGCAAAAATCTGCCCTGCCATTCATGAGGCTGGAATAACAGAAACAGAGAAAGCCAGCTGCAAGTTTAATGGGAAACATTCTCCTAAGAACTTGCCGCAGCTGTAAAATGTCCTAACAACCCTTCTTTGAATGACTAGTGCTTCCTCACTCAGTGAGGAACTTTGTTGTCAAAATCCGCACACTATCGGAAACTTGCTGCGTGAAATGATATTAGCAAGGATAAAACATCTCACCCTTGCTTGGACGGTCTAAGTTCTTTTGGTAAAGAGATGGAATCTTGATTTCCAATCCAGGGGGCACAGCTTCCAATATGGGATTTCCAAAGACAACATTCCACGTTTTCATAACTTTGTGGTTTTCCAGCAATAGGACCCTGGGTCCACTTCACAATCCAGACCTGATCTTCACACAACTCCAGCTTGGTTTGAACCTATCAAATAACTGCATCCTATAAACTATACTTCAACTCCACCCTTTCCCAAACTGTATAATAACTCTATCTATGTCTTCATTTGGTGCAATGTTCATGGTTCTCTGGTGTATGTTCCTCTCCCTTGTTGTAATGAGTCTATAAATCTGTTGGAATACAGGCTTGTTTGTCCCTGGGAATCTTAAACTGACTGAATCAGGATAACTTGCTGGAGGACGTCCATCAGAATCTAAATCTGACTTTGCCAGTGGTTGTCTGACTCCTTTTTTTTTTTTTTCCTCTTTGAGGGTAATTAGAAAGCAGGACTTTGGAGCTTTTCAGGATTTTTGATGAAATGATAACAATATTATTACCCAGGAGAGGAGTAATTAGCATTCTGTGCTCCATAAAAGATAAAGAGATGGAAGAGAATAGGTGGGAAACACCATATAAATTCAAGACTTCAGTATTAAATAGCCATGAATAGCTAATCAAAAAGCTCTCATTCTATGAACATATTTCTACAACATCAAAATATGAGCACATCTATTCAATCAACAGTGCTTATACTATTAAATATGAATTTATAATGATTCTTTATGTCTTTGCACACATAGTAAGAAAAGAAAATGCAGAGAATGGGATTTTAATATCACTGATTCATTTTCATGTGTTTGGTGCTCAGAATAAAGAGCATCAGGAAAAAGTAGCTCTGAGTTCAGATTCCTAAAATCCTCAAACCCAAGACTTGTACACCATATCTGACACAATTTTTGGTGGTGAGCTAGAAGCTTCCTGGTTCTCTTTTCCGTTTGTTTTCAAATAGTTGTCACTGATGTTCTCTGAATAAATGAATGAATTTCCTTGTTAATTGCAGTGTGTGTGATCCACCAACATAGAATTCAAGGAAGAGAGGTTTATAAAGTTGGCCAGGAAAGGCATGCTGGCTGAAATAAGTTTCCTAAATTAGAGCCCAAACTTGTTAATAAGGCAATAAAACCATAATCTTTGGCATTATCTTTTCTACCAAACAAATCATATGCATCTCTACTGGACAAAAATCTGTAAGTTAACATGTAATCGGGACACATAACCCTTTGCTTTATTGCCTTATTTATTGCCAAGTGTGGATAATTTTTCTTCATCGCCTTATTGACCTTAATCTTCCACTCGGGGAGAATATTACAATACATTTGATTAACAACTTACAACTTAGAGAGGCTTAGACAATTAATAGGCTGGTAAGGTTAGAGGTAAACTGCGGAACTAATACACTGTTATAACTTTCTAGACTGGTAGAGAAGTTAACTGCAAAGGTGGTATTCCTTTATTCTTCTATAGAAAGTTAACCAGTTGTATATCTAATTTAGCAGTCTTAGTTGGACATTCCTTTTTCCCAACTATATGATTCTCTGTTCCTTAAAGCTCCAGAGTCCCTTTGAATCCTACTGATAATTTCAGGTGGTAATCTTGAGGCTCCTGGTCTCCTCTGCAGCCCTCCCTTCCACGCACAGCTCCTCTCTCTACAGAGCAATCAGACCACTAGTGTGCAGCCAAGAAGCCAATAGAGAAGGAAATTCCTTAGGAAAACTATGAAAGACCAGGGAAGGTCATGAAACTCCCGGCACTCCAGTCTGTTCTTTGAATTCAACACAGCCCCTTGGTTAACAGTTTTTAGCTACCATGACCAGGAGCTGAGAAAATTGGGTAGTTGGGCTGTTTTGCTATATCTTGCTTTAGCTTTCCTAACACCTCTCTTTTCTACTTCCTATCCTTCCAACTAATCCCTCCCCACTTCCTCTGCCTCTATTGCTTGCCCAGGGCAACACTGGAAGATGGATCCCAGAGAGTATGTGGATCAGAGCCCTCTCCCCTCCTCCCTGCTTGCCCCAGTCTCACTCAACCCCCTTGCCAGCCCAGGACCTGTTGGCATTTTTTCCATGAATAATAAATAGACTTCTAGTGCTCAAGACATTACACGTTGGTTAAATGGTGGGAACTCCCTAAAAAAATAAATTCAGTTTTATTACTTACAAAAAATATAGCAAACAATTAAAATGAATCTTTTGTTGGGAAAAAAATGTGCATTTTGACATTAAGTTATCTTATTTGTTATTACACCTAGTGCATATTTTCAAATTAGTTTTGTTCATAAAATCCATGGAAGAGAAACAGAACTGCTTGATAAAAGTTATAAATCCTGTAACAACTAACACTGGCAGATGCGTCTGATTGGTTTTCTTCCCCTTCTTCCTTCTGAAGGAAACACATCTGCTGAATTGAGATGTGAGCATCCAAGACAATGGTCGTGGCTCTGCCTTTAATTCTCCATATGATTTGGGAAAAGACTCTTAAACAGTTATGGGCTAGAGTTTTCTCATCTATAACAAGGATAAAAGTAATAGTTATTCTGCCTACTCCTTACTGATGTTTTCGAATTATGAGATAATATTTGCCAAATTATTTTTGGAAAAGTTTGTATATAAGCTAATGGCATGATGGAGAACACCTGTCAAAAAGACTTATTTGGGCTTTTTGGG